ATTTTTTTAAGCATTTAGATATGGGTTAAATTGTTATAATAAAGTTTCGATTATTAAGTCATCATTACTCTTGAATATTATTCAAGAGGTCGTTGTTAATAGGAATTATCACCAAGAGGATTTATCTCAAGTCCCTAAAGGATGACCACTAAGGAGATTTATCTAGTTGTCAATTTCAGGATCCCAAGGAATTAGCTAATGTGCACATAAACTGACTCGAACACTCCGATGACAAATACAAAGAAAAAAAGATTGACTAATTATGATTTAAATACAATTCTTTAAACATAAAAGAGAAGCTAATAATGAAATGATATGATTAATAATTTTTTGGCCTAATAAATAAAAAATAAAAAAAGATTTTATTTTTTTTCTTTTTTCATACCATCATATAATTACATCTTAATGATCAAGAAATCATATGCATTTTTCTCTTGGGAACAGTGATAATTCCAAGTCATTAAGAAAGTCAATTAACAATTTAGATAATAAATTAATAACATTAAGAAAAATAAAGGTGATGAAAGGGTGGTTCTGTAGTTACTTTTACTTTATCCCCACAAACAGAAGCCTCTAAATTATTCATTTCATTCATTCATTCATCCATTCAGATCATCAAACCTAAATATAGTCGAAAGGTTTGCTGACACAACACACATTAATACCCACTTCTTGTGTCAGCATCTAACTCATCATCATTCAGTCAGTTCCCTCCTCTTGTGTTGTGTTCTGTTCTGTTCTGTTTTGAGTGGGTTTCATTAAAAAAAATTTTCTCTATCTGTTTGCAGTTGTGTCAATTGGGATTGGTCAAGAAAAATATTCTCAAAAAAAATCAAAACAAGGGGAAACAAATCTTTTTTTTTTTTAATCTAAAAATCCAATCTTTGTTGTAAAGATCCAAGCTTTGTGTTTTTGATATAGAGTTAGTGCCATATTCAGGGGACCTAGATGGAAAACTGGGTTCTGCAACTATTCCATGGGAGGACATGTTTAGATCAGCCTCAATTCGTAAGCCTTCGCTAAACCCTCCGCCTCACGCGTCGACAGCGCCACAGCCGGAGAAGGGAAATTCCACTCACCCAGTTCATAAAAACACATTGTCTGGTGATCCTCAGGTGAGACTTGCTCTATACATAGCCATGGCTCATGCTGGTCTTTCTTTCACTATTTTTATTCTGTACTTTATATGCAAGCTATTGCAGGCCATATTGTGTTCAATTCCACTGAGAGGTGTTGCATTTTGGAGTGAGCCCTTGAAACTTGGCCTTATTGAGACCGTGCTTGCTATTCCTGTTGCTATGTTTAAGGTTTTTCATTGGTACCCTTGTTGATATTAAGGATGTTTGCTTAAAGGTTTATCTTAAAAGATCAAAAAGTTATCGTTCTATGCGTCATCGGACTGGATTTTCTTTTTCTTTTTCTGTTGAATAAACTAAGAGATTGTAAACTACATATACTATTAGAGAAAGAAAAATAGGGTGGGGTGGGATGGAGTGATTTGTCGTGGAGACGCCGGTGATGTGAAGAGAAGAAAGGAGATGAACCGCGCGGTAAGGGTGGATATGCCGCCAGCGCGCTATTAGGTTTAAATAAACATGTTGGGTAATACCAACGGACGAATTTGAAATTTAGTTTCTAAGGGAGGACGAATTTGAAATTTAAAAAAAATCAAGTTGTCCTTGTTTGGGTCTACTAGAACTATAGGGACTGACGTGTAAACGTTTCTCTCCCATTTAGGAACTGCATTTTTTAGTCAAAGCTTGAACTCCATGATCACAAATAATGATCCAAAACACCGAAAAATTTAATGAAAAACTAAATAGTAGTTTCTTATTGAACACTTATGTTCACATAAATAATAATTGGTTGATTGGATTTGGGTGTGTGCTCTTTCTTTTTATTTTTCGCTATTTGTTTGTGTGATTGTTTGTTTTCTTTGATTCCCAAACGCTATCTAGTTCCTTCACTTTTCTGATTTCTTGCAGTTGAGTTAATTTTGGAGTTACATCAAAAAGATTGAAACTGAGCCGAAGTTGATCATACCTAAGTGAGCTCAACAAGTGTTCTGACGGACCCAGGGTAACAAAATGATAAAAGCAAAGGGCAAAAGGGTAAAGGGTGTGGCTGTCAAGTGGCATTAGGCATGAAGGGTGTGAGTAGTTGGTTAGAATCTATAAAAGAGGGACGTGAGAGAGCGGTAGGGAGATCATTTTGGATTTGTGGGAATTGGAGGTGCTGACCCTCGAAATTCAGCTTTATCCGGGAGGAATTGGCCCTCGAAGACAAACATTATTTCTATTTTCTGGTTTTATTTGTTTCTTTTGGCTGTTGTTGGGTTGTGTTTTGCCTATTTTTCATCTTTGTACCTCTGTTGGCTGTTATTGTTAACTATAGGGGTGAGTTTTAGGAGATGTTTCCATCATGTTCTCTCAATCAGATTCTTCTCATCCAATTTGTCTGTCTTCAGTTGAGCGAACCCTGTTTGAATGGCAAGTGTACAATTGTCCTTTGGTAGATCCTTGTTCAAGTATTCTTTCCCAAGGATGATCCAAGCATGGCAATCAAAATGCTTCTTCACTGCTGTTTGACTTGCAAAGGTACAAAAGAAGAAACTAACCAGGTGTTTCACTTGCAAATCTTGATGAATTTTTTTTATATGTTTGTTTATTTATAGAAGATTATTGTAGCTTATCTATGGAAACAGGGTAATAGTGATGAGATCTTGTATTATTACATGAAAACAGAGTTTAATTGCCGTTGAATTAATTTAAAAAATGAGTGCCTTTAAAGCCAATGTTCCATGGAAACAGGGCACTTAATTTTGGCTTGCAAAAGTTGTTTCCCTTGTTTACAAAGAAAAAAAATTTAGTAGTTAATTAATTACTTCTTTCTAATTTGGAGAGTTATTCCAGTCATTTCAAAAAGGCAATTTTCTTTTATTTTCAAATTTGATTTTCAAATGTAAATGAAAGATGTGGATGGGATAAATTTGTTAGATGGGAACAGAGGTGTTGGTTTCTTCTCATTCCAAATTTTCTTTTGACAAATTCTGTAATGCTTGAGTACATCAAAATTTCGTTTCATGAAACCAGTGGGTATGTGAAGTACAAAATATAAGTGCTTTTTTAACAAATATAATTCATTAGTCGAAAAACATGCTACTGATTAAATATAAATGTTGAATGCAAGTCTTTTTTACCAAACGTTAGTGTTACCAGAAGAATAATTTTTTAAGACAAAGTTAGATCAAAAGAGCTATTTTAATCATTGAGCCAATAACAGCTCATGATCACCAGAGATATGACAAGTTTATTCATACAAACTCTTTATATGAAATCGCTTTATTCCGTGTGAGTGCTGGGTTAGATTTATTATGGAATTTGGGAATTCTTTGCTTCTAACCATTTAGAGTTATTTCAAAAACATACATATATATATATGTAGAGATTAAATAAAATAAGTAAATTTTATTTTAGTAAAATAAGAAAAAATACCTTAAGACCCAGCACCTAAGCTTGTCATAAGAACTTGGAACTTGGAGAACAGAAAGCAGATGTGTAAATCGATGTACGAAGACAGAGGAGAAGTTGCATACATCATTATCTTCTGGTCTTCGCATATGCATCCTTCATTTTTTCTGATGGTTGAACATTCCTGTCAAAGAACAAAAAATTAACAAGATAACATTTAAAGGGAGGAATAGATAACAGGGCTTTAGACAAAACTTACAAATATATGATGTCATTCAGCGAATCCGAATGATTACACATTAGCTAGATAGTGTTATGTTTCCATTTCTCTACCTTAAATACCTTAATAGCATCAACCGCTGCATTCACAGCCTTCTCTTCTACTCACTATTTAGAGTTCTTTGCAGCTTTCACTTACTCAGCCATGTCTATACATTAGTTAGATAGTCCCATGCTTCCATCTATACTCCTATAGCCCTTTTATGTGAGGAGAAAAGAAATGAAGAAAATAATTATCAAACAACTGTCCAATTAAAATTCTGAGGATAGTGACGTGAGCTGTCAGCTAAATGCAATCCCATATATGGTAACATGTCCTGAATTACAGACCATATATACATATAAAATTCATAATATACCTAATGACATTGAGAACAGCAAGCAAATGTGAATGTTTCCATGGCATTTTATATTTGGCCCTGTGCAATCTGGAGTTTAGCTTTGATTCACCATCGTTCTCCTAGCTTGGGCCTACCTGCCGGTCTGATCCAGAACGACAGTGGTTGCAGTCTCCACATCTCCAATGAAACTGGAATGTAATTCCAAACATAAGTTATCTTAAAAATCTGATGAGAAGAAAGAGCAGTACAAATCTTAAACCCAGCAGCTTCATCTTTTTCCCTGACGATCAGTACTTTACATAGTCTGCCCTGCTGCAAATATACGAAGACAGAGGAGGTGAGCAATACATCATGCAAAACTTGAAAAACACATACGTACAACTTACGATTATCATCCCAAGCTAGGATGGTTCCGAGATACGTACAAAAGTTATCTAGTAGAAGTTGCATACGTCATTATCTTTTGGTCCTCAAATGGAGTGTACAAGAAATAGACAATAAACAGTAAAAAACAAGAAGCATAAATACAATTCAATGACTGAAATAAATAATTAAATACTTGTGGAGTGCCATCCAGAAGCAGAATAACCACAGATAGCGTTGGATTTTGAAAGACATACCTCCGCATCTCGTTAATGTGACAGTTTTTGTAAACATTTTTTTTTTCCTTCTTCATAGTTTTTTGTTTCTTTTTTTTTTTTTTTTTTAATGAAGAAACTTATACATATCAACAACTGTTTCAGAGATAGACAACACTGCTTACGTTGCAAAATTACTTCCACAATTGATTTATGCTGCACAACTTCTCCCTAAAGCTTTCACACTTCCAATTAAGTTGGAGATAAAACTTCACTACTTTTTCCAGCTTCCATCAGCTTCTCCAGCTTCTCTCTCGGATTTGCATTCTCTCTACAAGCTTCTTATCTCTTTCCATCACAATATCCTTTTCATCAATGGATAATTTCGGACTGGTGTAGCAATTGCTTCTTCAAGGCATAACACCATATCCTTCCCTGCCTCAATTTGTTCGTGGTGCCCCAATGAAAATCTCAGAAGTTGGTGCAGCAATTGCTTCTTCAAGGCATAAGAACCATCCTTCCTTGCCTCAATTTGTTCATGCTGCCCAAATGAAGAAAACGCCGGCTCATCTCCAATTACACCCAAAGGAAGTTCAAGCAATAGATTTGCTTTTGGCTCTTCAAATGCTAAAACAACCAACTACATCAATTACCCAGAGGAAGTTCACCAACAGATTTGTTTCTGGTTCTTCAAAGGCTGAACAACTAGCTCATCTTAGTTACACCAAGAGGAAGTTAAGCCAACAGATTTATTTTTAGCAGGCCACCGTCTTGTCGTAACTTCAACTTCGGTGGCCATCATGTGATCATCATATTGGATAAAATTTGGCCCGATAAACATGTGCGATTCCATTTCACCATCTTCAATCTTGTTCTCCCTTTCCTTGGTCTTCTCTTCAACGATGACAATTCAACAACATGCTCAAGCTCAGGGTGTATACCACTTTTATATTCTTATCTCTGCCTCGAATACCTTAATAGCGCTGCATTCGCAACCTCCTCTTCTACTTGCATATTGAAGTTCATTCGCAGCTCTCTAACTCTGACCATGTCTATACATCGGTTAGATAGTCTCATGTTTCCATTTCTATACCTTATCGTGATTGCCCTTTTCTGTGAGAAGAAAATAATTAATCAACAACCATCCAATCAAGCTTCTGAGATTGTTAACATGAGCTGTCAGCCAAATGCAATCTCATAAATGGTAACATGCTCCCGATCTACAGACCATATATACTTATAAATTCATAACATCTAAGAAGATTCTTCCCAGCACCTGAGCTTGTCATAAGAACATGGAGAACAAGAAGCATATGTGTAAATGTTTCTTGGCATTTTAGGAACGGCATTTTTAGTGCGTTTATCAAAGCTTGAACTCCATGATTACATCACAAATAATGATCTAAAACACTGAAAAATTTAATGAAAAACTAGTAGTTTCTTATTGAACACTTAAGTTCACATAAATAATAATTGGTGGATTCTTAAAGCAATATGTCTCTAGAAAAGTATGTCAATGAAAAATATCATTTAAAAAATTAAAAGAACCACAAATAAAAAGTCAAAAGACAGTAATTGATGTAATTAATACCTGTGGAAAGCTATCTAATGGCAAAATAACCACGGACAACGTTGGACTCTGAAAGACAAACCTCCACGTCCTACCAACGGGACAAGCCATTGTACAAATATTTTCCTCTTTTTGTTCTTTTTTCCCTTTTTATTCTTTTTTCATCGTCTTCTTTTTCTTTTTGCTTCTTCTTTTATTTTTTTATTTTTTTATTTTTTGAACAAGGATCCACCACCTATCAGGCTGTAGCAATGTTATTAAATTTACTGCAACGTGCGCAGGCGTTTGTCGTATATAACTGCAAAAGCAAAAAACATAAGAGGGAAGGGTGAGTAATCACAACAAATGAATGAAATCAACAGAAAAAATAGAAGCCAGTACAAATACCTAAATTATATTAGAACACACTGTTGCTTGAAGGGCTCCAAAACAAAAGCTGGAGATCACAATGGACAAGGAAAAAGGCCTGCACCACCAGATAGCCAAAGAATGACTTCAGATACAGAGAAGAAAACAGAAGCCAGTGTAAACTACCCAAATTAAATTGGAAAAAGAGCAGTCCAAAGTGCCCCAGAACAAAAGTTGGAGATCATAATGGACCTGGAAAAAGGCCTGCACCACCAGATAACCACACTAAGAAACTTTACAACACATAATCGGCATAAAGTCTTTTGAGCAAAAATTCAACCTTCAATGCAACATAAATTCTTACCTGGTTTTAGGGAAGGCTTCCATTCATTATTTGATTTGTTAGTTGTAAATCCTTTGCTGCAATCACTGGGAAAAAAATATAAAAATTCATCAAACCATGGATCAGAACTGTTTAACATTACAACAATATTGTTACCAAAGCAAAGGAGAAGAAATCAAAAGACAATATAACAACTTTCGAAGATGTCTGACCTAACAGGCGAGAATCATAAGCACCATCAACAGCAACATAGGGTGGACAATATGCAGCACCGGCCAGAACTGGAATCCTAAAAAGGCAAAAAACGCAACTACAGTTAATTCCCAACATTCTCGAAAATATCAAAGCATGAATATCAAATGATTCAGAGAAGAAACGTGGCAGTAACACTACCCCCACTCTCAACCCAATGAACGCAAATGCAATCGCCTATCAGTTGAATCAAGGGAAATATTTAATGCCAGTACATTATAAATTNAGTGACGACAGGCGACAGCAGGTGATGGGGGTGATTTCGTAATAAATTAAAGTTTTATATAAACCAGGGTGTTTTAACTAAATCTGAAATATTGGAGGTTAAAAAAAAATTATTCAAAAATTAATAATAAAAATAATATTATATTAATATTTGAAAAGGGGACAATTTGGTAATTTAAATAACATACCCACCAATTTATTCTCCATAACCAAACATATTAATATAACATACCCACCAACTAACCAAACACATTTTTCTAAAGATTTCCAGTAATCTTCCAAGGTAATCTATCTTTCCAATGATCCAACATTCCTAATAATCTAACATTCTTGAACCAAACGCCCCCTCAGAGGCACTTAATAGAATATTAGCTTTCAAAGTAAATGGTCTTAACTAGTTTCAAATTTCATGTATGGTGAAATCCAACGGCAAATAAGAAGTCTAGCAGAGATGAACTGTTTCCATTATTTAATCACAATTAAACTGATGAAATATTATCATAGCCAAGCATTACATGGTCTAGATGAGCAGCTGTTAAGTGTTAACACACTACTAATTAATTAGCTAAGAAAAAATACCAACCACCCCACTCACTCTCAGTACACAAATACTGGGATATTAAGAGACCAATCAACCAACAAATAACCAATATTAAGGGAATGTCACTAAACATCGATACGAAACTCAAACATCATCCATCTATATAGAAAAAAATTCTGTTTCACCAAGAGAAAGACCTGCTGCACAATAATTCTTGGTTCCATTTTTCATATGAAGTTCTTGGAGAAGACTTGTCCAACATTTCTTCCAAGCTTCACATAAAAAACAAGCCACAAAAAGAAAAACACCTGAGAAACAGAAACACACTGCTGATATCACAAGTTTTGTTCCATAAATTCACAATACAAACATTAAAGGCACTCATCTTCAATGCACATTCATACCGCAAATTTAAACAAGGATTTGCCACCTGTCAGGCCACAATAATGTTATTAAATTGACCGCAGCATGAACAGGTGTTTGTCATATATAACTGCAAGAGCAAAAAACAGAAGGGGAAAGGTTGAGTACACAACAAATGAATGAAAATGAAAGACTTCGGATTAAGAGAAGAAAACAGAAGCCAGTACAAACTACCTAAATTATATTGGAACAAACAGTGGCCCAAAGTGCTCCAGAACAAAAGCTGGAGATCACAGAGGGCCTGGAAGAAGGCCTGCACCACCAAATAACCACACTAAGAAACTTTGCAACACCGAATCGGCGTAAAAAGTCTTATTGAGCAAAACTTTAACCTTCAGCTGCTTATTCAATAGGCTCCATCCTATCTAAGCACATCATTCGCCAAATTCATAGCTGAGTATCTGCATCAAATTTTTAAAAAATAAAATCGACAGGAAGCAAAATACAAATAACACGGAGCTCAATATAAAACGGGATAAACACCCCCCAATCAGAATTCGTTGAAGAATTCAACTTGCCTGCGAGGCTGAGGTTTGTTCTGTTGTTGCCCAAATTCATCACTTCCAGGCTCTGTGGGAAAAAAATATGTACATATTTTTAGCTTAATTACAACAGCAAATAATGACAGTGTGTTTTAACAGTATATGAGCACAAAATTTGAAAATGCAACATAAATTCTTACCTGGTTTCAGGGAAGGCTTCCATTCATTATTGGGTTTGTTAGAAGTAATTTCTTTGCTGCAATCAATGGGAAAAAATATAAAAATCCATCAAACCAGGGGAACAATATGTTACTCTCATAATTACTTTCTTCGGCTATCTATGACAATGTGAACATATAAAGAAACTAGCATTACGAAAAAAAAAAAAAAAAAAAAGTAGATTAAGTCATATGAGTATAATTATCTTTCCAAGCACCGCAGCTTTTATTAGAGATCATCTGATTGAAGACAATTTCTTCATTCATATTTACCTTAGAACAGGCAGCTGTATCATCAAAATACTAACATAACCCTTACTGTTGAAAGTGACGAATATATCAAGATTATAAGACATAAAATACTAAAAGGTTCAATGAGTTTCATGTTCCAGTACAAAACTGTAGATAAAATGAATGAGAAATCCCACAAAGGATGTCCTTAGAATGTGCCAACTTTTTTCATTTACTATCCACCCTCTTCACCTTGGACTTTTACCTAGTGCACATCTGAATCTTACAACGAACTAAGTTCAAGATTCTATTTCAATAATAAAGATTATTCTACAAAGAGAAACTGATAGCAATTGGAGTGAATATACCGATACATATAAAACAGAACTGTTTAACACTGCAACAATAAAGTTATGGAAGCAAAGAAGAAAAAATCAAAAGACAATATAGTAACTGATCAAATAAGTGGCAGACATAACGCTACTAACCTTGAGGAACCAGTCGAAGATGTCTGACCTAACTGGCGAGGATGATAAGAACCATCAACAGCAATATAAGGTGGACAATATGAAGCACCCAAAGCTCCTGCAGCACCAGCCAGAACTGGAAGCCTAAAAAAGCAAAAACGGCAACCACTATTAATTTCCAGCATTCTAAGAGAAAGCAAAGCATGAACATAAACAGATTTAAAAGGGCAGATACATTAGAGAAGACACATGGTAGTAACACTACCACCACTCTAAACCAAATGAGCGCAAATGCAATCTCCTATCAGTAGAATGAAGGGAAGTATTTAATGTTGGTACATTATAAATTCTGCTTCAATCAAGAAAAGTAAATGATTTCAACCATGTGCGGCAAATCAATCACCCACCTAACAAACTAACCAAAACATTTAAAGGAAGCCCAAAATATTTAAGCAAAGAGAGAATTACTATACCATGTCATTTCGGAATTCCCCAAACCAAGCTGTGGCTGAGCAACATAACCAGGAAATGCCATGCCAACAGCAGGAACTCCAATACCACCAGGATGCTGGCCCCCAAATTGCATAACTGCAAACCAATTTATAACAATAAGAGCACTCATAGCCATAGGTCTCAGTTCTAACTTATGAAAAGTTAAAACAGCTAAAAGCTAGAGATAAAAAGTAGAGATTTACTTGTGATCACATATGCTGAAACAATATATCCAAATTAACAGTTCAATACATCAAATTTCTAACCTATACTCCATTCAATCGACAGTGTGATAAAGAACAACCAAGTTACATCAGGAAGCTGATCCAAACTAGGGGATCTATTTGCCAATAATCAATCAACTTTAAAAAAAATAATTATCAACAAGATTCTAATAATCAAGTCTACAAATCCACTGAGACTGAATCTTACACTTACTAGAACCTCTGATCAAAAAAATGAATCACAAAATCTAAACCTCCATTTGGGGATGTCCAAAATATATGTCTTACTAGTGATCAACTCATAAAAGAGGGATCCCTGATAAGTGAGTTATCAACAACATACAGAGAATTAACTTTTAACTTCCTTGCATAACAAATAGCAAGTGGATCCCCTGAAAATCAAGGAAAAAATGTTATCTCCTGAGACCTAAAGCTTTTTTTATTGCATGATATTGTAGCTACCGTTTTTCTTTATTTCTTTTGACTACCGAAGTAAAATGATCCAATAACTTTGCTTTACCTGGCAAAAAGGTGGGGAAATTTTGATCACCAGGACCAACAGTCATATTCCCAGTGGCTCCCATAACTTGAGCCCCACCATACATAAGTGAGCCCCTTCCTTGACTGCCTTTTCCCTTTCCAACCAATGCACCTTTTGATTTACTAGATTCTGATGGTGATTCCACTTCACTATGATCATTTGAATTTACAACTGAAGCTGATTTTGGTGGGGAGGAGGCCTGAGAACCACTAGCAGAACGCTGTCCTACCTGCTGAGGAGGCGATTGCACAGAGGACTGAACACGGTTTTGACTCAAACTTCGTTGAACAGCATTGAGTTGTGTTGGTGGGGAAACTCGGTTGGTTTGGTTCTGAGGTGGGGCTAGTTGATAAGAAATTTGCTGTGGAGTAGCTAAACCACGTCCTTGAGACCTAGACTGAGAGGAAGGCAGCATTTGCAGATTGTTCAAAGGATTCCCAGCAGCCGAAGCACTTGGATCATCAATATAAAGTTTGTCCATTCTAACATCAGCTGCATTTTTCCCTCGCTGCATTGCACTTGGTTGCATGGAGAAACTCTCATCCATACCAGAAGCACGAAGATTCCTACTTGTGTTTCCAGATTGTACATCCCTTTTCTGTGTCAAACTGATATCTTTATTTGAAGAGCCTGAAGGATAAAATGGTGGAGACGCAGAACTCAAACTAGATACTTGTTTCCTCGGAGGAACGGGATCAGATTCTGCATTTGACGAGGAGGTGAAAGCTCTACCTGAATTGGTATGTGAACTTTTCTCAAAAGGCTTCCCAGACCTAATAAGATGAGAATAGAAATATTTT